CTTGGTTATTGTAAATAATGCTGCTATGAACATTAGGGTGCATAGGTTCTTTTGAACTGATAATTCAGGATTCTTAGTGCATATTCCCAGCAGTGGGATTGCTGGATCAAAAGGCAGTGCCATTTTAGTTTTTTGAGGAAATTCTATACTGCTTTCCACGGTGGCTGCACCACTCTGCATTCCCACAAACAGTGTTCTCTCACCTATTTCTTAGATCATTGTGTCTCATTGCAACTTCAGACCTTTCTCCTCTCCATCTAAAAAATATCACTCAGCTTTCAATCTTGTTCTTTAGACTTTCAGATTACTATCACTCTGGTGAATTCAGTATCCCCTATGTAGTCTTTTGTAGATTCTCAGATCTTTTACCCCTCTCCTCCAAGGATTTTATTCTGCATCCTGCCTTAGCCATTTATTCCTATAGCTAAACTGTATACCTAGTCATTGCTAAAAACTGCGCCTCCTCCATAATTTCAGTGTTAAGTAGTTTAGTCTCTATCACCTTTCTCTCCAGCTTATTCCCTACAAAAAAATCCTTTGACTCTATTGGACCTTTGTTTCTTCATCTTCTGTCTTTTAACTGTTTCTTGTCCCTGTTGTCCTCAGTTCTCTCCATACCCTGCTTTTAAATTAGATGGTATTAGAAAATAGGAGATGAGTATGGAAAAGTTGCTTGGGTCTACATTTTAATCTTAAGGACCTTGTGTACCTTACATGGGGATTTGGTCTTCTTACCACGTGGGTAAAAGGGAATAAAATAAGGAGTTTCAGTAGGAAACTAATAAGATAATTCTCATGGCAGTTGGAGGACAGACCGAATTATATATAACAGTTGTGTAATTGAAGAAGCTGATTTAGCAGTCAAGGTAATTGCACAGAGAATGGAGAAGAGTGCCTAGCAAGAAAAACATTTCTGATGTAGATATAATAAGATTTAATATGCAATTGGAAATAATCTTTCTTTTTTTAGAGATCACAAAGAAGGGGTATCTACAATCTCGCTTTGAAAGTTATGCTAAGATTAACTATGTTTTTAAATTTTATTTACATTTAAATTATATCATTACATGGTTCAAAAACCAAGAAGTATGAAAAGGTAGAGTAGAAAAATTACTTTTATCTTTGTCTCTCATCTTCCTAGATCTTATAAGCAACCACCACCCTCCCTCCCCCTCCAAAATAAAAGGTAAAGTTACCAGTTTCTTTGTAACTTTCAGAAGTAGTTATGCATACTCTATTCCAAAAAATGAATATAAAATAAGAAACATTTAAGCAGAGTCAAAGTATGGATAAGAGGATTTTAATTCATAATTGTGCCAAATATATTTTACCAAGATAGAATTCTTTTTAAAATTCTGAGGCTGTTTAGCAAGAATAAAATCATAACTTATTATGTTAATATAATGTGATATGCTTTAACAATAGTATTGATATTGTGGTGGATTAATACATAATTTTATACTGAATTCAGAACATTTAGCACTCTCTTAGTGATAAGCTTCTGTAGCTAATATCATTTCATATTGCCAATGTGAGGGGAAAAAAATTCTCATTTCCTGTAAGTTTTTGTGCCCCTGCCCTTTCTGGACCAGAGTCAGTACAAATACATATCCTGGAAGAGATAGCAGTACATGCAAATTAGTTACATCAACTTGTAAGGCCTTGGAAGTAGTTAAAATTTCTTTCAGTACATCCATGAGTATAGTTTGCATTCAGAGTTTGTGTGCACTCTAGGCCAATATGTATAATTTTATTTCTTATTAATGAAGGAGTCTACTTTTCACAGGCAGTTCTTATTAGTATTGCTTTTGGAATTAATTGTGTATCATCTGCGTACAATCTCCTTTTCCCTGTTATCACAAATTGCCTCCACAATTGAAGTTTGCTAATTAAATATTGAGTATTCTCATTTAATTTTATTTCCTTCAAATAGTATATGTCAATTAAGTAAGAATAGTGGCAAGATATATTTACATATATCTTCAGTTAACTACATGGTGTGCACGTAATAATATATTTTTGATTGAGGTGTTTTTTGCACTGTCATCACACTGACTAGAGTCGGATTCTTACTTGGCACATCCAGACACTTCAACTTTGTGTGACCTAAATAGAAAACATATGGGGGCGTGTGTGTGTATTTTTAGCACATGTTAACCTTTCGGCCTAAGGGCAAAATATATGAAAAGCTTCAGGAAGTGACAAGAAAATTCCTGTTTTAGAACATAATATAGGATTGATTAAATGATAGAGAAAGTAAACTAAAAACTATCTGCTGAAGAAAATGTATTTAAAAGTTCAACTTCATCTAGATCCTTCACTTTTAATTACCACTTTTTTTAGTTCTTTAATATGTTTTGAAAATGAATCTTAATTGCCTAATTGTGAAGATTGAATTTATTGGTAGACTATCATTTATTGCTAGCACAACTGTAACTAGTTTAAAAAATGCCCCTAAAGTAGCCCCTTTGATGCAGTAATTGCCTGATGTGAAAAAATGTTCCAGAACTATCAGCAGTGTTTACTTAAAACATTTTTTTTTTACATTTAGTGGTTCTCATTTGTCACAGCTTTTTTAGAACCCATTTCCTCAATAATCAACAAAGATTTATATTATAGGAATCACCTGAAACATCACTTTAATATAAATTAAACAGTATGATGTTTACATTAGAAGTATCCCAAGTTTTATATCTGTATTCAGTGTGCTGAGATTTTAAAGATTTTGTGTATTTATTTTTAGAGAGGGGAAGGGAGGAAGAGAGGAAGAGAAACATCAATGTGTGGTTGCCTCACGCGCGCCCGCTACCAGGGGGATCTGGGCCGCAAGCCAGGCATGGGCCCTAGACTGGGAATTGAACCAGTGACTCTTTGGTATGCAGGCCAATGCTCAATACACTGAGCCACACCAGCGAGGGATAGTAATTTATTTTTAAAGTATATTTTATATATATGTATGTCAGCATCAAGTAGCATAGCTTTGAAGAGGTAAATTTTTTGTCAATACCTTTTTTTTTTTTTAAACCCTCACCAGAGGATATATTCTGTTGATGACAGAGAGAGAGAGAGAGAGAGAGAGAGAGAGAGGGAGAGAGGGAGAGAGAGAGAGAGAGAGAGAGAGGGAGAGAGAAAGAGAGGGAAACATCAATGTAAAAAAGAAACATTGATCGGTTGGTTGCCTGCCTTGCACTTCCTGAACCAGCATCGAAATGTAACCACAACCTAGGTATGTGCCCTGAGAAGGGATTGAACCCACAACCTTTTGGTGTACAGGATGGCATTCCAACCAACCGTGCCACCAGGCCAGGGCAGCAAATAAGTATTTATTGTTCAACTATTTTTTTGGTAAAAGTAACCCGTGAACTGGAAAGTACAAAGCAGGAGCATCTCTCTCCAATGTAGTTTCAGATTATTTAGAACTTTACCTGCTGTTTGTTATTTTAATATTGCCCCTTAAAGCACCAGCTCCTGGCCAGCATAAAATAACAGCCGTAACAGCAGAAGCCAGCACTTCTTGGTCTTTTTACACAAACACACAGGAAGCACAAATATTACAGTCTGGCAGTTCCTCAAAAAATAAACAGTTACACTGCATTACCTAATGGTTCCACTTCTTGATATATACCCAAGAGAAATGAAAAGATGTCAAAACAAAAACTTGTGCATGAGTATTCCCAGCACCATCATTTATAATAACCAAAAAGTGGAAATAATGCAAACGTCCATCATCCAAGAAAAGGTAAGTCTAATAATGTATAGCCATACAACAGAATCATATTTAGCCACTAAAAAGGAGTGAAGTACTGATACAACGTGGATAAACCTTGAAAACATGGTGCTCAGTGAAAGAAGCCACTCACAAAAGATTTGTGATTATTAAATGTATGATTGCATATATATGAAATACCCAAAGTAGGCAAACTTATAGAGGTAGAACATAATTTAATGTGATTACTTGGGGTGAAAGTAGAGGGAAATGGGGAGTGACTGATAATGGATACAGGGTTTCTTTTGGAGTGAAAAAATTTTTCTAAGATTATAGTCATAATTGCACAACTCTAAATATACCAAAAACCATTAAATCATACACTTAAAATTGGTGAATGGTAATAGCATGTGAATTATATCTCAATAAAACTAATTTTTAAAAAAAGAAAGGAAAGTTTGCTTTGAATTTCCTAAAGCAAAGTAGTAAAAACATAATTTCTAATGTGTATATGATACGGCAGCCAGCAGTCTGAATCTTACAAAACAAAAATCTAGATTTCAATTCCACTAGCAAAATACATTCTTTTCCTTGTTCCTTAAATAAATTAGTGTTTATTGGGCCCTGCTGGGTATCTGACAGTGTTCCTGGTACCAGGAACTCAATAATGTTCCTGATTCTTCTTCACCTTCACATGCAGTCATCATGTCACATCAAGTCGATTTCATATTCTTTAGTCCACAATTGCTAAATCATAGTCAGTTCTCTGTATATAAAAGTTAGTTACAAAGGTAATTTTTAAAGAGCATGCATTATCCCAAATTTTTATACCAGTTTGACTATTTACACAAATCTTACAGTGTAGCTCTCCATCCTTAGTAATATCTTACCTGGAGTAATAATTCAATTTAAATATACTCTGAAATATATACTCTAAAGTTTAGAACAGAAAGAAAATGAATATTTAATGAAACTGTTTTATGCCAGACACTGGCCTAAGTGTCTGCCTCCATTGCATATTTTCATCTTTCAGTAACTCTGAGAGAGAAATATTCTTAGTGATCTTGTAGAAAGGAGAAAACTGAAGCTAAGGGAAATAAAGTAAGTTGTACACTGCAACATGTACAGCTACTAAAATTCCAAACCAACACTATCAGATTTTGTATGAATCCCTTCCAAATGATACTGAAAATATAAACTAGGATGAAGGCTAAATATAGAAATAAATGGTATAAGTATTTGAGTATGGTAAATCTAAATTGTATTAAAAGTTACCTGTGTCTTTTGTCCCAAGGCAATTATTTGGCAGAAAACCAGAGTATCAGATCATAAGATGGCTCTCATGTCTGTTCTGGGGACTACTGTTATGGGCAACATGGAGTCCTTTCAGTACCATTCTGAAGAATCTCAGGTATACAACAAAAATGTTTTTTTCAATTGGAATTTACCAAGGAAACTATTAACATATTTCCTTGTTGGGGGTTTGGGGTGGCAAGAGGGGTGTTTTTGTTTTGTTTTGTTTTGTTTTATTCTTAACATTTTTACCAAATACATGTATGAGGTAAAACACAAGCTAGATACAGAGCTTTATATTAAACCTCTCTCCTCATTTCTGCTTTTTGTATATTCTTTGTTTTTAATTTTAACTATTGTGCTTACATTAATTTTCTTAATGATTTTCGTTTTAGGATCTTACCTATATACTTTCCACTATGAAAGAAAGAGTTGAGCTCCTACCTTCATTTTCCCTTTTTCTAAATAATATACTCCAACTTCATTTTTTTTCTTTCCTTTTTTTATATCTATCACCTTCAGAGCGTGTTGCCTGTTTCTTGAGTCCCTATAGTATTGAATGTAGTAATTAACACCCCCACTCTTATTTTTACTTGCCCTTTCCTCTCAGTCATGTCAGTTCTATTTTTACGTTATCAAGCTTATATTTTCTTATGTAACCATTTTTAAGTCTTCCATCTTTTATTTGAGGATTGATTGTAAAAGTTGAAAGTTTATATGGAGTATACATTACTACAACTAAAAATAACCTTCATTACAAACCAAAATATGTGCTAAAATTACATTTCCTCTGTAAGGACCCATTTTTATGTCTCTGTGCCATACAAATGAGAATATTTCTATTGTTGCAACTGAATGAAATCTCCCATTGGTTTTTCTGGGCTTTTCAGAATTTTTTCTTTTTTTGAAGTGAAGAAACTGTCTTCATCATTTCAGCAATAAAATCCAGCTCTTTCAGTTACTCTTACTGTAACTTGTAACCCATTTCATTCCATTGTTTTTGAATGCATTATTCCTAGAACCTGCTCATTTTGCATTTGGAGTGTTTGAGTGTCAAGCATTGGGCACAATTCTCATTTTGGGCTTTCTTTTCATTGAAGTACTGGTTGTTTCAACTATTTCTGTATCCCATACCTTCCTCTTTTTTGATACTCATTCTCTCTTTTTTTTTTTTAATGTTGTTCAATTACAGTGTAACTTCCACAGAAAGGGAACATGAGAGGTAAACTTTCGTGTCTGAGTGACTTTATTTTACACTTTCTCTTGTTGATACTCTGGTAGACATGCAATTCTAGATTAAAAATAATTTTTCTTCAAGACTTTGAAGATACTGAGTATTTTTTGACCATCCATTGTTACTAATGGAAGATTAATACATTCCAGTTCATTCTTTCTAGGCAATGTTTTTTTCCTAACTGAAAGTACTTCAGCTCTTTCCTTCATCTTTAATTTTATAAGAATGTGTGTAGGTGTATGTCTTTTATTATACATTTGCTTATTATGCTTAGCTCTTTGTGTGAAACCTTCTGAATCTGAAGACATTTCTTTTTCAGTTCTGAGTTATGTACTTTGATCTGTCATTACTTTCATAATTTTTTTGTTTTTTAATGAAAGCCCTATTGTTGATTAGGACCTCTTGTTTTTCTGTTAGGTTTTTGTTTTTGTTTTTCAAGTTTTCCATCTTTTTTCTGTAAGTTTTTGGAGATCTTGATTTTTTTTTATACCTTCTTATTTTTCTATTTATTCTGAAAGTATTATGTTCAATTTCAAAGAGCACTTTAAAGTTGTATCACTTCTTTGAAACTTTTTATGGTTTTATGGATACAAAATCTTTGTTTCTGTTTTTTAATTATTTTTCCCTGGAATAATCTTTTTCTTAAGGAGTCAGTTTTGTTTTGCTTATCAGATCTTTTCCTTCCAAGCCTCTCCTCTTGCAATCTTTTCCTCTGAATAGCAGTTCTGATTGGGAACTCGGGGTTTGTGGCTGGCCTTACTGTCAGGTTCCACTTACATGTTAAGTAATCAAGATCCTGGTCCTGTTCCTGGAGTCTGGGGGAATCACAAGTGCCATTTTGGGGTTGACGCTTACTCTGCAACCATACTAAGTTATGGACGGTGGCCAGTTATCCAAGTGCCCTGGGAAATTTATTTTATCCCTTTTCCTCCCCTCCCTGCCCTTCCTTCTTTTCCCTCCCCCCGCCACAGCACTAAATTAAATTGTAATTGGTTTATGGAAGATTGTCCCTTTTCATTTTCTTTATAGAAGAACCTTTTTGTATGTTCTTCTTGTGTCTGCTCACTTTAAGCCTGAAAGTTCTCCGTTCTTCTCATCCCTTTTTTCTTAATTTGTTGAAATCTCTATTCTACTTCTGGTTCCCCTCCTATTCTCTTTGCAGTATTGAGTATCATTTTAGTAGAGTCTTGGATGGGATCTTGCGCTCAGTTGATGTCCTAAGAGTCCTCTCTGCCCTAGGAACAACTCAGGTCAGCCTTGATAGTCAGGTGTAGTACCTGGAGTATGGCCATGATCTGACACGGATCCTGTTTTTTCAGAACTCGCTTAGTAGTTCTAGTTTCAATATACCTGAATGCCACCTTAGACTGGTTATGATGGCTGACTTGGGATAGTAAGGGTATTGTCTAAATTCCCATGGGTTCCCTGTGGCTTCATGGGACTTTATTGCCTACACTGTTAACTCAGGAAGCTTATGACAGAAGATCCATACTTGACATCTGTGGTAGCGTGCTCTAGAAACTCTTAACTGCCATAGTTTGGCCTGAAGACCGGCAGCATTAGCATCACCTAGAAGCTAGTTGTTATAGAATGAAGAGTCTAAGGCCTCACCCCAGACACACTAAATGAGAATCTGAATTTTAACAAGGTCTCCAGGTGCATACTGAAGAATGGAAAGTACTCATTTAGACCTTGGTCAATTATGATTCCATGCATTGACAGGACTATCTCATAAGCCAGTCCTGAAGTTGGAAATTTTTTTCTCTCATCTTTGTTGATTGAGATGGGTTGCCAGATTTATGCTTGCCCATTGATTTTTTTAAAAATCTTTCTTTGGGTTAAAATTGCATAAGGGCTGTTGGTAATTTATGATAGATACCAAAAGGTTTGGTGCACCATCGTGTAGTTATTTTTGCATGGAGGAATGGGAGAATTTGGAAAGCATGTGTTGCTGAGTGGCTCCAATTCTATGGGCTATAATAATGATAAATTTTTTTAGTGTCTCTCTGGTGAGAGTAATTATCTAATCAAATACCTTCTTCTGCTGTGCACTGTGTGTCTAAATGGGTATTGTTTTATGTCATTACCAGCCAACCCTCTCCATTCTGTGCTTTCTGGGCTTGTAAGGAGAGTTGTTTTATATCAGAGTTTCTTTGACCTCTTCTCATTTCTGGCCAAAAGCAATCTTAGGCTGTTTGCCAGCTGCCAATGGTTGCCCCTCTCACCACATTTTTATTCTCATTACATACCTTGAAGTTGTGAAACTTCGTCACCAAGGCGTCTTCACTGGACTAGGATGGTAGTTGCATAGGGAACCTTGGGTGTAGAGAATCTTGCTATCTCTCCTCCCATAATGTTAAAGTCAGTTTTCTTTCTACAGGAACTTATCTTTGGAAGAATCTCCTAGTTATAGATGGTGGCCTTAGCCATACCACTGCTGCGGCGGCATTTGTTACGCGTTTCCCACTGTGGCTTTGTTGCCTTAATGGAGCTCCTCCAGTTTTATTTTGAGGTTTTTTTGACATCTATCTTCTCTTTGATTTTTTTTTTCCTGCACAACTCCATGCTAAGTCTACGTGAATTCCTCAGTACTCCTTGATTTTTATTCCCATAACTATATATGCTATTTCTAGGATTCAGAATTTATTCATTTTCCTCTTCTTCTCTTCTAAACTTGATTTATAGCTATTAGTTTTGATTTCTTTATCTTCTGGCTTATTTACTCTTTAAAAGCATGGTACACATACTAATTTCAAAGTCCTGTTCATATTACTCTATCATTTCTACTTTCCTGAGAAAATACTCTCATTCTCTGCTATTTTATATGCGTTGAAATTTTAATTTGCAAAATCATCTTGAATGCAGGTTTATCATTTTTGTTGTTTTGAGTTTTCCCCTTCCTATGTTCTCTTCCCTCCCCATAATTTGGCAGATACCACCCCCCTCCCAGCCCTGGTAAATCAGGTGTTGTATATTAGTAGTTTATGCTTTTCATCCTGCCAAGATTTTAGGGATCCCTGTTTCCAGGTGACTTGACTTAGCCTTATTCTTTGTTTCGGAGTTCTGCATACTCGTTCTTGTGACCCTTGCAAGCAGCTCTATACAGTGGTCACTGTATTTTTAAGCATTTTGGGGAGATTGAGTGGAGGGAGGGTATCTGAACCACCCATTTCAAATGGGAATACTGGTTTCAGTTCCCTGTTTTTCATGGAGGTGTTTTCTAACCATTTCTGTACCAGAATTAAATTTGCAACATTTCTGGTGCTGTAACAGAAGCCCACTGTGACTCTTTTGCTCTGAGTTCTTTGGCTTACTGCCAGTGAGAACTGTGGCTCTCAAGGCCAGAGTTTGGTAAAAAGGAAAAGAATTATTTAATTAAAAGTTATACAGGTTTAGAGTAATGGTGGAATTTTGCCATTAAGTTCCACTCCCTTTGAATGCCCACAAACACACACAGTGCTGCCCACCCTCCCCTTTGCCCAGTCAGGCTAGGCTCAGAGCATGCTAGTCAGAGGTACTGCCTTTCAGGGAGGAGACAAACAGAAGTCCACAGCTCACTTCTCACAGTTCCTCCCTGTAGTCTGTACTGGGCTGGGCAAGGCATGCTTCCCTTTGTTACAAGCACCATCAGCCGTGAAGCTGCAATTGGGTTCTGAATCTAAAACCACGTAGCACCTCCTCATGGCGGACCTGTGAGGATCCTTCCACCCCCTCTTTGAAACACCTGGTCCTGCAAGGTTCCATTGCACGTGGCTGCCCGCCTTTTGGTTTAAATCCTGGCCTGAATCCTCCTCTGTAACCCCATTTCCAACTCCTCCAACAATCAGCTACACCTGCTAGCGCTCCTGTATTTTTCCACCACTCTTAGCTGCCGTTGTTAGTCTGGGCATTTGTGGCCCCACGTTGTGGAGCAAACCATTTCCAAGCTCTCGCTCAGGGCTGTAACCCAGGGGAGCTGCCTCCCAGTTATGTAAGGAGTCAAAGTCACGCTCTTCTCCCTGGCCCAGGCAAACTATTCTGTCTTACTTTGAAGCTAGCCTGCTCTTATTGATATGCAAAGTAACACTCAGAGGCTCTGCTCCAAGTCTCCCATCCTCCAGCCAAGTTTATGGGGAATACCCTATATTCCCGGATACCCCAAGTTCTGGACCTTGTTCCATACCTGTTACAATGCTAGAGCACATAGGGCTTTTAACTTCAGCCATCATGCCCTGTTAGGTTTTTCACACTAACATCTTTATGTTTGTCATTTTAAAAAATGTTGGTCTTCCAAATTTATTGTAAAACTGATTTTTATCTCTCAGTGCTAACTATTTGCATTTGGGATGGGGGAGAAGGATATTTCTACATAGCTTGTTCCATAAGTCTGACCAAAGAATTTAAATTATTACTTGAGAAACATAACTCCATGGTATTCTAGAGGTTTACTGAAATATAAGAAAAACTAGTGTTAGACCAGTCAGAATTACTTCAACAGAATTGGGGTAGAAGAAAGGAGATGGGTTTGACTGATTCGGTAAGTAACAAGATTTTTTATCTAATTTTTTGTTGTTGTTGTACTTATTTGGTCTCTATAGACATTTTTTTCCATGAACTAGCCTTATTTTCACTTTACAGCATTTTATAAGACTTCGCTCTCTTTGATTTTACTTTTTCATATACCTAAAATATAATTTGTTAGTTCTTAACATTATCCTAATCCATTTTTAAAAGCACGGTATTTTGGAAGTAATAGTAATTATTCAGTGGCCAACCAAGATGGTAAGAAAGAAAAACACTAGCAGTATTACTCAGTTACTTCTTTATTTTGTTGTTCATAATTACCTATTTGGAGAAGACCTTTTTTTTTTAATCCACAAGCCCAGTAAATCTTTTAGAGACTAAATAGGCTCTCCCTGATGCTCAGCAGGTGTTTCAAGAAGGGTCTAATGTTACCAGGTTAATTATACAACCATTTATAAGTGCTGTTAAGTTTTACAGTTAATTAAGTAGTATCATTTTGTAATGGATTATCCAGCTTTATTAATTTACTTTTTAAGAGTGACACAATTTGGCACTGTGACAATAATGCACTTAGCGTTCTAAAAGTGGTAATACGTCTTCCTTAAACACTTATTTCCAAGCCCAGTGATAGTCATAGACATAGGTGGCAGCCTACAGGCTGTTAGGGAGCCTCATGGTTTCTAAAAACAGGCACCCCCCACCCCCCGCCCCGATTCTCTAGCTTTTCTAAACCAGAGCTGAAACTTTACTATTAGTTTTTTAAAAGATTAATAAAACAACTGGTTCCACTTGTTTCAGACCAGAAATTATATGACCAAGATCACATAGCTAATAGTGGAGCCAGGATTTAAATAATGTCAATCTGGCTCTAAACTGTATTATCTTTAGAGGTAAAGTAGGAGCATTTTCCTGTTTCCTGGTCCCTCAGTGTCTCTCTTCTCTTTGGTATTTTTTTCTAGGATCTTTTTTCATTTTCTTCCTTCTCTTCATACACTTGTAAAAGAGAGAAGGAATGCATAAAAACAATTGTGTTTTTTTTGTAGAAAAGTTCTCTAAACAAAAAAAATAAGGTAAAATACAATACTGCAGTCAATGTCAAAGAGCAAGAGATTTTTGACTCTGAAATGAAAACCCAGTAAGATTGACTTCATAGCATACTCAGAATAACTATAGAAACAGCTACTTCTTTATAGGAAAAGGTGGCTAAAAAGAAAAGGAAAAAACAGCCATGGAAAAGTCACAATATGAGGAAGAAAATCTTAAAAAGAATTTAAAGCTGAGCAGAGTATCTGTGTCTTTTGGCAGTAAAATATATGCCCATTCATGAAGCTTTTATGAATGCCAATGTTTCCTTAAAATAGAATTGCGGAAAAAAAAGAGGCAGAGAACATGAATTTAACATGCTTCACTATTTTATCTAAGGTTAATTCTCAAGACATGGTTATCAGAAAGTATATGGCTCTTTAGACCATAAGATGAAAATCTATTTTTTTATTTTTGATAACTTTTAACGTATTGTGTATAGCCAGTCTCATGGAACCACATTTATTGTCATTGCATATTAACTCTGTAATTATTACAATTGCAGATTTATCTAAGCGGATTTTTTCCAAAGCATGATGCAGACCACTCTCTCACAAGTCTTTCAACCCCAGAAAGGAGTTTTATCTTTATAAACAGTCGACCAGTGCACCAAAAAGACATATTAAAGGTAATCTGTTTAAGGAAAAAAAGTTATCACTTGGATCAGAAATAAAAACTAGCTCTGTCATTTGTTAACTTATTATAAGAATTACTTCTAAGACCTTAAGGAAAAGGAGAAAAAGAAATACATTTAACATTTATTAAGCATTATTCTAGGTACCTTACATATGGTGTCTGATTGACTCTTCTCAACTATGTGATATATTACTTTCCTTATTTATGATGAAAAGTTGAAATGTTAGTGACATTCTTGACCACATAGTGAGGAAGTTAAGAGTTAGGATTTGAACTCTGAACTTTGACAATATGATCTTTAACTATGAAGCTAGTTCCATTGGATCTTTGTACTTCCTCATTCATATAGGTTCAAGGCCTCTAAATGAGTTTAGATACTGCTCTTCCTAATAAGCAGTTATATCCACTCAGTTGAATATACTCCTTTTGGTGGTATTTTAAGGATGGCAATACATACTTATGTGAGTTTTTTGTCTTTTATTCATTACATGTATTTCTAGTTAATCCGACATTATTACAATCTAAAGTGCCTAAAGGAATCTACTCGTTTGTATCCCATTTTCTTTCTGAAAATTGATGTTCCTACAGCTAATGTGGATGTCAATTTAACACCGGATAAAAGTCAAGTATTGTTACAGAATAAGGTATGTTTTTCAGATAATTTTTAAACTTATTTTATTTATAAACTTAAACAATCACAACAATTTTTGTATGACAAAGGAGATTTGTTTATACATATTTTTAAATGTTTTAAATCTTGTCTATTATTTTTATAATTTATATTAAAATTTGTTCATTTGTATCTTTAGGAATCTGTTTTAATTGCTCTAGAAAATCTGATGACGACTTGTTACGGATCACTACCTAGTACAAATTCCTGTGAAAATAATAAAACAGATGTTTCCTCAGCTGACATGGTTGTTAGTAACTCAGAAGAAACAGATGTGCTTTTTAATAAGATGGAATCATCTGGTAGTGATTATTCAAATGTTGATACTTCAAGCATTTCTTTCCAAAATGATGTGCATAATGATCAATCTGGAGAAAACACTAATTGTTTAAATCATCATATACACACTGGTGATGATTATGATGATCATTTTATTAATGGAAATTCTAACATTGATAAGAACACTAAAAATACATTTCAGGAGATTCCAATGAATAGTTTGTTATGTGAGGACAACCAGAAGGAATACAGTGAAACCTCTTTTGCATGTTCTGTTAAGCACTCCCAATCAGAAAATGGCAATAAAGGCTGTACAGATGAGAATGGGAAAAACGAAGAAGAACCAGTTCCTGCAAAGTCTTTGGAAATTTGTGCAGATGACTGGAGCAAGGGAAATGCACTCAAAAATTCAATGGGAGAAAACATTGAACCTGTGAAACTTTTAGTACCTCAAGAAAATGCAGCATATAAAGAAAGTAAAAATAATAGCCCAAGCCCTGAACAGAAGAATCTCAGTGAAGGTTCCTGTAACAAAAAATCAAATGTGGTAGATGACAAATCTGGACAGCTTACAGCTTATGATTTAATTAGCAGTCATGTAATCAAGAAACCCATGTCAGCAAGTGCCCTTTTTGTTCAAGATCATCGTGTTCAGTTTCTCACAGAAAATTCTAAGACCAGTTTGGAGGATGCAACGCTACAAATTGAAGAACTGTGGAAGACATTGAGTGAAGAGGAAAAACTGAAGTAAGTTTCCAGAGTTTGCATGTGACCTAAATGTTCAGATATTTCCATCCACTGGGTTAAACAAAATTTTTTTAACTTCTTATTTATGGAAAAACAGAATGGAAAATGCCTTTTGACTTGGCAAGAGTACTTTTTTGGCATCACTTTTTTGGTTAGAGGTTTTTAGTTTTGTTTTTTGTTTTGGTACGAGCCTTAACTATTTGTTTAAAAAATTATAGCATTGTTGCAGATTCAATTTCGTACTATTAATGCTGTCCTTTATTCAGTAGCAAGGCTCCCTCCAAAAGTCTTTTGTTTATTTATTGCCAACTTTTAACTGTAGTAGTAGTTTTTTGGTAGATAAATAGACAGTTTGGTCTATCTTTAATTAAAATAGCTACATATTATTTGCCATGTTTATGTCAGGTGATCTGGATAAATATTTCCAGATAATATGATAGATATTTTTAATTCACTTAGGGCACTTATTATAAATACAGAAAATATTTGAGTAATGTAGCCAACCAGACCATAGAGGAGTAGAATTGTACTTCCAATCACATACTATTATCTAAGCCATCTCAATTCTGTGTCAGACACCAGGAAGAAAAATTTCAATGTAACCTATCATCCAGAGTTTATATTTGGTGATAAAATATATGAATACTTGACCAATTTCTTTCATTAGCTTATCCAGTTTTATAAAGATACTATCAATTTAAAATAATGAAGACCACTATTAATACCAGTAGGCAGACCCTCCATGAATTAACTTCTCTTTTCACACTTTTTTTTTGGTGGGGATGGTTGTCATATTTTCTTTTCTCAAACATACACTAAAGTAGACAAAACAACACAGCCCATCATCTCGTGGTCAGTCCTGCTTCATCAGTACCTCACTTCACTTACCCTTCTTTACCATTATTATTCTGAAGGAAATTAATATGTATTTCATAAATATTTTAGCATGTATCTGTAAAAAAATATACTCTTTTAAATATAGTCATAATACAATTCTCATAACTTTTTAAAACAGGAATTCTTTAATATCAAATAGTGTTTAGATTTCTAATTATTTCTTAAATGTCAGATTTTTTAAAGTTCCTCTACTTGAATCAGTATGCAAATAAGGGTCACACATTGTTATCTTTAATTTTACCTAAATGACACAACTATGCAGTTTAAAGATGAGTGCATTTAACCTTTAGTACAGCAAACCCACAGAAGTTGAATTGCATTGGCCAGGGAGGTGATGAATTGATAGCTGTCTGATACAAAAATGAAAGCATAGATATTTCTGGTGTTCATGGAAGTAGAGACAGTGTAACAGCCTAAGATAGCTATTACCTTCCAGCCTCACAACAGCAAGTATTGTACTTTTCGGGAATGTCGGCATTATTATACCTTGTAAGTCCCAAGGTGTTAGGGTACAAGGCTAATGGTTAATAGGCTTCATCTGAAAGTTTTGTCATCAGGCGATATTCTGGAATCCAAAATTTTCTCTGCCTTACTACCATAAAACAAAGAGGCAGTATTGGTCAAAATCAGACCACTAAAACTATGCTTACATTCTAACCCATCTCTCTCTTTGCCAGCTTTTTGTAAAAATGTGTGGACACTATCTCCCATAGTTGTGAGATTTAAATAAGATATGTGTGTTATCATAGTGAATGTGCCAGATGTCAGTGATGTCAATCAGATTTTTAATCTGTGAAAAAGAAATTTCTCTGTTGTGGTTGAAATTATTTTTCATTTGCTTAGTCAATATTAAATTTAATCTGCAGGCCAGAAGTAAAAGCCTGTGAAGAAAATACAGGTATCTTGAGATCAGAGGGCTTACTCTATATCACAAATTACTGTGTTAGAATCTTCAGAGCCAAAGGTCTTGAGACCATCTGTGATCAGCTATGTCCAAAATCATAATTAGGGAGATGGTGAAACAAAAATATCACACTAATAACACTAACTACCACTTCTCTTCTAGTCTTTTAGAATTCTTTCCATGATTCTAAATTCCACAAAAGTGCTGGGGACATGAGGGTAGTCTTCTCTTCCACAGATAACCACTCTTTTCGTTCATCCTTTTCTTCTTTCTCTGCTGTTCTTTCCCTTCCTTCTTCCCTCCCCTTTTTCTTCCTTTCCTCCTTTCCCAGGCCTTTCCCTCCCTTTCTTCCTTCTTTCCTTACTTAAATTAGGGGGCATATATTGAAGGCATTCTGTGTACAAGGCTCTATACTCTGGCTTTTCACTTCAGATACAGTTGTAAATAAACATTTTCTACTTATAAATGGTTCAGTCTAGGGTCGAAAACAAAAAACAGTAATCATAGAATGTGATAAGTTTAAAGTAAAAAAATACACATAGAGAATTATGAAAACACTTAGTAGTTGGTCTTAATCTTATCTATAGTACAGAAAATGCTTTCCTGAATAGAAGTCAATCAGAAAGCTGTGGGGAATTTTCCAGGTAGAAGGAACAGCATGTAAGAGGGCCCGGAAACTAGAAAGAGAATGGTTATTCAGGAACTGAAAGATGCCCTCTATGACAGGAACTGCATATAGGGAAGTGTGGTAAAGAAAGATGAGGAAAGGTAGGCCAGATCATGGAAGGGTTCTGAAACTGTAAAAAAAGTTTGGAAAAGATTTCTGCTGAGAATTTTGGACACTGTGGAGTAGGGGTATTTTCATTTTTCAGTTCTTTATTTCTGAGTTGTTTTTTTTTCCTGCCTTATTTTTCTCTCTTGTAGTGGGTTAGAATCCAGATTAAGACACACGCACTGCCACTGGGGTCTCAGTCCATTAATGTTAACTTAAACTTTCATTTGCAGTAGGTATGAACATATTTCTACTAAAAATAACTATGAATAAATTGTAATTGGGGTATTATTGAAAATGGTAAATAAACTTTATAATTACATGTAATTTTTAGTCACAAAAACATCATTTTAATTGATTACTTGTCAAATTAGAATTAGTATTTTCCATTCAAGTTACTAAATCCCTTAATGACATTTAGTCAAAGGTAGCAGCTGTTTTTACTTAACATTCACTTAATGTTCCTTTGGACATAACTTCTTGTATTTTTCAAGGAACTAATGACATTGCTTCTTGAGTAAATCAAAAGATTAGTACCATATGTGAAAATTTGCACTTTATAATTAATTACAAATGGTGACCTTCATCTTGAACTCATTTTCCTCTGTACAGGAAATGTTGAATTTGAATGTCCAGGAGCTAAAAATACTTAATTGTAGTACTATGAAAAGTAAACTAATCATGTGTTTTATATTGCTAATTCAGAAGTTCAGATTCTAAGTAGAAATGAGAGAAAATAATGTAAAATATTATTAATGTGATATGGTGAATAACCAAAAGAGGCATTTTTTAATTTTTTGAATCTAGTTTATAGAGAAACAAGGTCTTTTTTACATTCTCATCCCCATAACATTTTTTTATTAAACAAACATGTACTAAGTAAGTACAAACTACACAACATGCTAAGGTCTTTTGTCTCTTAGTTTCACTTAATACAGTTCTCCCAATAATACTATTTTTATTTCCTAACACAAATCTATTCAAATTTCTCCTTTAAAAATGTTTAGAATTCATCCAATTTCTTAAGTTTCTTCAAACAAGAGATAACATTCTCATTTGAAGTTTAAAACTGAATTTTTAAAAGAATTTAGTAAGATTGCTTAAATAATTATTAACCATTAGTCAGATCGTGTTCCCTTTTCATTATACATTTTTTGATAGAAAAAAATGGTAGCAAACATTACCATTTACTCTGTGCTAAGTACTTGACACATTTTAATACATTTTATTCCTCATATCAAAACTATGAAGTAGCTGTATTTATCCATAGTGAGGCACAGAAAAAGTAAATAATTTGCCACGGTTTATACAACTACTAATTGGCAGGGCAAAGCTAAGCCAGGGAGTGAATCTGGAGAGTCTGTGCTCTTAGGCACTACACTTTGCTGAGTAATGTAATAGTAGTTTTCAATTCTGGATATGCATAAGAATCAACCATGGAACTTTAAAAACAGAACTGTGTGACTTCAACCTCAGCCTGGAGCATTAGAAACTGAGAGGGGGACCTAGCCATCTCAATTTTTTAGAAAAGGGTTGATATAACAATTATGCTACAACCCAGTATGATTTTAAAACATTCATTATTTTGTACCTTTGAAATTAAATTAGATGATTTGTTCAATTTATTTAATTTTTTTCATTGATGACTCTAAATTGAGAAATAAGTAGCAACTAAAAAAAATAAACATTTAGCTATGAAACCATTATAAATTTAATCATAATTTTTATTCTGCTTGTTATAGTGACTTTAATTTTATTAGTATCTAATTAGTAAATGGAGTGTATTAATTAATGTATGTAAATGCTCTTTTGTAGTGCTCAGGGAATTGTTTATTCCATGTTGATTAATTGCAAAGGTATAAAGAACTCTTCAGATCTGGAATTGACAATATTTTTTTAATGCCTGTGCCTTCAGTACTTTCTTAAATGGTTTTTAAAACTGGGTAAAATTTAGCTGCTTTGAAATGCATAGATCTTAACCATATATACAGTCCAATGCATTTTCATATGTGTATACATACGCATGTGATCACCATCCCAAAATGGAGAACATTGTCATCACCCTAGAAAGTTCCCTTATAACACTTACCAGCTAATCTCCATATGCAGACACTGTTTTGATTTTTATCACACTAGCTTTCTTTTGCTAGTATTTAAACTTCATATATATAAAATCTTATACCTAGCATTTTCCCCTCAACAAAATATTTTAGTGATTTTCATCATATTTTTTAATCTGTATTTCATTTTTAACAGATTAGTTATATTCAATTGCATAAATATACAGTCATTCACTGTTAATGACAGGAATATATTCTCAAAAATGCTTTGTTAGGTGATTTTGTTGCATCACAAACCTAACTGGTATAGCTTACTACACACGTAGTCTTTATGGTATAGGCTGTTGTTCCTAGACTATAAACCTATATAGCATGTCACTATACTGAATACTGTAGGCATTTGTAACATGATGGTTAAGTACTTGTGTATCTAAACATAAAGAAGGTACAGTAAAAATAGGGTATAAAAGATTAAAAATGGTTTACCTGTTAGAGCATTTATCATGACTAGAGCTCAGGATGAGTCAGTGAGTGATGAGTCAATGTGAAGGCCTAGGACATTATTGTATACTTCTGTAAGTTTTATAAACACTGTACATTTAGGCTACACTGAATTTATAAAACACAGGATGAAGTCAAGCACAAAAAAAAATGATGAAGGAGACTTGGTAGATACAAGATCTATGAGTCTGCTAACAGTATAACATGGCATACTGTTGTTTTACAGCAAGCTTTTTTTTATAAATAGAGTACACTAAAGTAACAAAAAATATGCTAAATACAGGGATCTGTAACATAATCATTATCACTATCAAGTATTATGTACTGCAGCTATTTGTATGTGCTATAACTGGCAGCACCACAAGCATGTGAGTAATGCATTGTCACTATGACAGTACAACGACTGCTGCATCAGGAGGCACAGGAATTTTTCATCTCCATTGTAATTGGTATATGCTCTCTTTTGTTAACCAAAACATCATTATATGGTGCCTGACTGTACCACAATTTATTCAGTCTTCAGTTGACAGGCCCTTGGGTTGTTTCCAACTTGGGGTTATTATGAATAAAGCTACATTGTTTAGTTTTCAAATATTTGAGTTTTTATTGATTGTATTTTAGTTTTATTGATTGTTACTGATTTCTAGTTAATTTTGTCATGGATAGGGAAGATGCTGTGTTAGATTTCAGTATTTTAAATCTATTCTCACTTTTCTTTTATCTGAAAATGTCTGTTTTCATTTCTGTGGTGGTGGTTTTTGTTTGTTTTGTAATGTGTTCTTTTCCTTTGACTACTTTTAGGATATTACCTTTACCTTTGGTTTTCAGCAGTTATATAATATCTTCTTCTTCTTCTTTTTACCTCTAACTGCTTTATCTTTGTTTTTGGGTTTTAGCTTTATTTTTGTTTGGATTTTAGCTTTATTTTTGTTTGGATTTTAGCTTTATTTTTGTTTTTCAGCAGTTGGATTATAATATACTTAGCTGTGGATTTCTTTGCATTTATCCTTCTTAGGATTTACTGATTTGGCTCTAAAATAAATGTCTCTAGAGTTAGTTAAGTATCAGCCATAATTTCTTGATGTTTTTTCCCCCTCACTTTTATTGTTTATCTGGAACTTCAGTTACATATATGCTGGGTTGCTGGTTGTGCCATAGGTCACTAAGGTCTTTTTTTTCAGTCTTCAATCATTTTTCTCTTTGTTGTTTAGATTGGATAATTTTTATTGATCTATATTTTACTAACCCTTTCTTAACAGATCGGAGATCTGTTACGCCTAACCAGTGAATTTTTTATTTTAGATTTTTGTGTCTCTTAGTTCTAGAATTTCAGTTGTCATTGCCCTTTTAATAATTTCCCTTCTCTGTTGAGATTCCCCCTTCTATTATCTCATTATGATCATCTTTTTTTTAAGTCCTTAAATATTTATAAAAACCTATTTTTAACTTTTTTTCTTTGCAAATTCCAACATTGAGTCATCTTGAGGTTGGTTTCTGCTGATCAGTTTCTCTCATGACCATGACTCTTATTTTCCTGTTTTATTGCTTGAGTGATTGCTTTGACTATATAATCCCCACTATGACTGATACGTTGTAGAAACTCTGGGTTCTATTTTCTTCCGAAAATTGTTAGATTTTGTTGTGCCAGGCATTTAAATTATTGAGAAATCACCTTGAGCTTGTGAAGGATTTGTTTTATACTTTGTTAGGGAGACTAAATTTTGCCTTTAATCCTGGGGTAGCTTCCATAGTTTTAGGACAGTTTTTTTTCTTATCCCTTAGATGTGGTCCTCCTTCAGTTTTAATTGAAAGCCAAAAGTGTTAACTATGCCCTCTTAATTCTGTGGAACTCAGACTCCAAACTCTTTTTTTTTTTTTTCCTGCAATGAGTAGCCATTGAAATCTCAGTTTAGCTCACTTAGCTTTCTAGCAAGTATTTTTCTCTTGCTAGAGAAAATCCCATATGATTTCCACATATGGGATTTTCTCCCTCAATTTTCAGTAGTTTTGGAAGCAAGGAGCTCTGTGTTCTGCTGAGTCAAGCTAGTAATAGTGGAGCTTTCTGATTGAGTTCTTGCCACTCTCTCTTACTGCTGAGGACTCCTCTCTGGGTAAAGGCTGTATAAATGTATAAATCAACTCTTTAAGAGTTGAACCTATTCCAATTTATGCCTGCTTTTGGGTGCTCTTCGGTGCCAATTTTAAAAGGTTGGTATATATATTTTGTTCATATATAGGAGGGTTTTTATATATATATTTATATAAATATATTATATATAGGAGGGATAGTCCAATATAAGCTCTTTACTCATAACCAAACCTGGAATGTCAACTCTGTTTTTTATAAAATTTATTTCAGATGGTTAATATATTTCTGATGAAGGCCTCATTAGCTCTGTTTTATCTCTATTCATAGATATGAAGAGAGGGCTGCTAAAGACTTGGAACGATACAATAGGCAAATCAAGAGAGCCATTGAACAGGAGCCATTACAAGATAGCAGGAAAAAGATAAAACCCTCCAGTTCATGGAATTTGGCACAGAAACACAAATTGAAAGCGTCGTTATCTAATCAGCCAAAACTTGATGAGCTTTTTCAGTCCCAAATTGAAAAGAAAAAGAACCAAAACAGTAAAATAGTTCAAATTCCCTTTTCTATGGAAAACTTTAAAAAAAATTTTGAGAAACACAAGAACTTTGAACTAGAAGGAAAGGATGAACTTTGCTTGATCCACAGTCTCAAGTTTCCTGATGCGTGGCTAATTACATCCAAAACAGAGGTAATGTTATTAAATCCATACAGAGTGGAAGAAGCCCTGCTATTTAAAAGACTTCTTGAGAACCATAAGCTTCCTGCAGAACCACTGGAAAAACCAATTATATTAACAGAGAGGTATGGTGAAGTAATACAATATTCTTAACTCAAACATGAATCCGTACTAGATTAGAGATTGAAGGTAAAAGGTTGAAAGTGTTGCTCTAGTTAGAGTGTCATCCTGATACACCAAGGTTGCAGGTTCAATCCTCAGTGCACTTAACAGCAATCAACCAGTGAATGCATGGATGGGTAGAACAACAAAATTGATGTCTGTCTATCTGTCTGTCTGTCTCTCTCTCCTCTGTCTCTCTCAAATCAATAAATAAAAATTTTTGAAAAAGCTGCAGGTAGTTTCTAGTAAAGAAGAGTGATATTTATTTAACCTTTTAAAAACTTTATTCCTAATTTTCAGTGGAATTAATTGCTTTTAAATAAATAATGGAAAAATATTCTGCATAGTTCTGAAATTAATAAATATGAAGTTCAGTTCTCCAGTTAGCATCAAGTTAGGTTGTCATAACTCTTCTTCGTTGTGTGATCTTTAACATTTTAAAAATATACCAAAATAGAATTAAACAATGAATACCTTTATCAACAGTTTTCAAGATTTTCCCACATTTATTGTGTCTGTCCTTGTGTGTGTGTGCATATTTTCTTTGCTTTGCTAAAGTATTTTAGAACAATTCCCACCCATACATCTTTCAGTATATATCTCTAGAAAATGGCTATTACCGAACCACAGTACCTTTTTCATAAATTATGCAGTAATAATTCCTTGGAATTGTTCCTCATTGTCTCAGAATATCTTTTCTATAGCTTTTAAGTTTTTAATTTGTATCTAAACAAAGTCAACCATTACATTTTGTAATGCTCACAGATCTCTTTTAATATCACACCATCAATTTTTTGTTGATTTTGATGCTTGTTCATTGGACTGTCTTGTCTCAGTTTGTCTCTTTGCTTTCTTGTGATGGTGGTCAACTTGTTTTTCTCTCTCCTGTATTTAAATGAAAGCTCAGGAGGATTGAATACACTTATATTCTACTTTCTGGTAAGGCTGCTTAATAGATGGTACTATGTACTTTTATATTTCATCACATCAAAAGGCCCTGGGTTCAGCCGCTGGTAGCCTGATCCTCCATCTTAAAGTTCCCTATCAACCTTTCCATTTAATGGTTTCATCCTTTGATAATTATTTCTGAACTAATTTTATTGTAGATTATAAAACAGGGAGTTTCCTTTTCTTAGCCTATATGCAGATATTATTTTCTGTAAAAATGAATAACTAATAACATTAATATTCCCTTTTTTATACTCACTATTTCTTTTTTAGTCTGACAGAAGAGAATCATGTACAGTAAAGGAGATAAAAACCTGAAACTAAAGAAATAATTTCAATTCGTTCTCCAAGACACATCAGTAAATAATTGTTTTAGACTTCTAAGAATAAATCAAAAATTACTTATAAAATATATTAAAACTTTGGTGTTAAAGACCCTGTCACCAGAATGGGAAAGAAAAAAGGGACCAAAGACAAAAGAAGGAAAAAACATTTGTGAAAGTTATCTTTATAATTAAGGCAACATTAATCATTAAAATCCAGCATCTTTTGTGGTATAGATTGGCTTATGACACTATTACAGAATCAGAAAAAGAATTAATGCAGCCTTAGGCTACATCAAACAGTCCATATAACTGACACTTTTTATTCCCTTAAAAAGAGCTAGAGTGTATCTGGAATTTTCTGAAATGTGACATCCCCATTACAGTTAATAATTTTCAAGTTTTTCGGAACTGAGCTGTAGACAGTAATTAATTATGGGTTCAGTCTCAGTCTTCTCACTAGAATTCTAATGAGGGTTGTTTAGCTTACATCTGAAGAAAGTAATTTAGATATCCGTAAAACACCAAGTAAAAGCTCAATAATAATAACAATGATAAATGTTTATTGAGCCTTATGATAGGAACTTTACTAAGCCCTTTACACCTCTCATGAGGTGTAAAGATCATGAAATAAGGTGTAAGGATCATGAGATAGGTACAACCATTATGCATGTTTTATAGATGAGGAAACTGAAACAGAACTGTAAAGTTAACTTACCTAGGCTCGCACAGCTAACAAATAGTTGGATTCCATAGTCCAATCTAGACAGTAACTGTAGAGCCTGCACCATTTGTTGCTACACTATATCATCATCATCATCACCATTGATTCTCAGATTGATTTTCTGAATATTGGTTAGACCAGCGACAGCACACCCGATATGTAGCCAAAGCTTTCCTCTCTATGACATCTGCTCCCACAGCCAGTGGGGTCCTCTACCTTTCAGATATGATAAGCAAAAACACCTATTCATTTACTTTTTCAAGCGTACAGGATTGTAATGAAGAAATAACTAGCAGCTTATAATCTTGTACTGGAACAGTAGCTTGCACACCTAAGACAGCATCTATCACTTGGTAAGCACTCAAATATTCATTGACTGGGAAAATGTTAACTACTCACAAGTCACCCCAACAGACACTTTATTGTAAAAACGTGTTTCAGCATTATCATCAAGCCTAAAACCAACATGGAAGGCTAATTTGTGCCATAGGTAATCTTCAGCTATCTCAGAATTTTGTTTAAAGCCTGTACCACTGAGAACCATTTCATATGCCACCTTTGGCAAACGTGTCATGTCTAAAGTAGACAAGGAATCTCTCCCAAGCTCTGAATTACTAAGTTTATAAGTTCCTGGGAGAAAAAGATATATGCTTATCTTTTTATTATTGAAGAAACCTTGACAATTGAAAATTATGTAAGGTGAACCACTTGAGTAACTTGACAATGTATTCTGTCTGTTTGAAGGTGTTAATAGCATTATTTATAAGTAAAGTTTTCATTTTTATTAGAGCACATTTTTTTACTTTACATTTTACTTGTAACGTTCTAGAAGATAAAAACTCATATCTGTTCTTCCCCCTTCTATACATTGTATATAATAGGTCTTCTATAAAATATTAACAAAAATGTAAAAAAGTAAAGTTACATAGCTATTCATAGCTTTGTATTTTGGTTACTAATAATACTTTCTAAAAGGACCTTGGATTAACTTTCTTCCATAAATTTTTAAATTTTATTTTCATATTTAATAAGTTAAAGGACTATTATTTCTTTTTCAGTCTTTTTAGTGGATCCCATTATTTAGAGATTTTATATAACATGACAGCAGATGACCAAAGATCCAGTGGATCAACTTACCTGTCTGATCCTCGTCTTACAGCAAATGGTTTCAAGATAAAATTCATACCAGGTATGATGATATCGTTTAATATTTCCTGACTTGGAAAAATAAACCTTACTCCAAGAGACACATTTGGGTTTCATAATTTAGAGATATCATGGTGTATATATGTCTCTCCAAAAGTATGTCAGTTGTGTAAAAATAGTCCTATTTTAAACATGTCATGTGCGTCTGAAATAAGTTTAGCATCTCTTTCAGTCCATTGCCTCACATTCTCATTTCCATAACTAATTGAGTAGTTTTATTTTAATTTTTGACATCCTTTGCCACAGTGTTCACAAATACTCCCCTCTTTGTTTAGCTAAGTTATTAAATACTCCTTCAGATGATGAAGCAGAAGTAGATATGCAGCTTACTGGAAAGACCTAACAAAAATGGACTTTTTTTTTTTAAGATTTTTGTTTATTTATTTTTAGAGAGAGGGGATGAAAGAGAAACATTGATGGTGAGAGAAGCATCATCATGGAGCCTCTCCTACATGCCCCACTTAGGGACCAAGCCCCAACCTAGGGCATGTGCCCTGACCAGGAATCTAACCTGTGTCTTTTGCTTTGCAGGAACAACACCCAACCAGCTGAGCCACACCAGTCAGAGCACATCTCTCTTTTTTTAAATCATGTAGTTGTTTTATCAATTAAATATATGACATCAATACTCTTACTATTTGGAGAGTGAATGATATGATTCTATGGCTTTGCTAAAAAGACTGTGTGATAACACTGCTTGTTTGGTATGGAAATTCACTAGGCAGGGAAAAAAAAGAATCCTTGTTAGGAGACTTCAGTCTTCCTGGGTGACCCTTTTTTTGTTCTTTCAAAGTTTCCATACTTAGCTGCCTTCTGCCTTAGCCTCCTCAGTTGGTATCAAGAGGTACAAAGATACCACAGTGAGTGATACTATTGTTCCCCTTTCCCACCCACTCCTAAACTTGTCATGACCAAAGTGTATTTTCACAAAGTTCAACCAAAAGATTTTTAAGGGAATGTTTTCCTGAGACCTCAAAAGAAAATCAGTAAAAACAACATACAAAACCATGAAATTTAGGTATATACTAAAAATACTTTTGTGTTCTAAACTCTAATTTTACTTGACTTTTTCCGTTTTAATGATACCTACCCTAAACTTCTTATTTCCTGCCTCAATCTTGTATATTTAGATTTGGAATAAAGAGGGTCTTAATCCCAACTCTGCCATTTAAAAACTGTTTCTGGGAAAGTGAGTTAGCCTAAATGTTTCCTTAGCAATATCAACTCGTAATTATTGGATAGTTATGATGTGTAGGGCACAATTTTTAATATTAATGTATTAATTCATTAATCTTTCTAATAGCCCTAGGAAGCAGGCTCTGTTGCCATCCCCGTTTTATAGGTGTAAAAATCAAGGCACAGAGAAGTTAAGTTTGCTTAAGGGAACACTACTAGTGGTAGAACCAGGATTTGAACCCACGACATCTGCCTTTAGAGCCTAGCTGTGAAATTTTTTATATTGCTTCCCTGTTAAAACTGAGATATTTATTTCGTGAAGTAGTGGGCAACTAGATAAAAAATTCTATATCAGTCATTTAGCATAGTGTATAGCAGTGATAGATCTTCAAAAATGATAGGTATTCAGATATTCTTCCCATCCTCCAGTACTTCTTTCTGACCTAAACTTACTTGTAGCAATTTCTTTTAGTCCTCATAGAAGTTTTTTTCTTTGGGACCTGTGGCATCTTTTTAATTTATTTGCAGTGTGAAACAAGGTGTGTGTGTGTTGTATAGTATGATATTTTTTTCTTTTCGTTTTTCCCCAGAGCCTGGGTTTATTTATTTTTTTTTAATTTTTGCTCAATTACAGTTGTCCCATTTTCCCCCCATTACCCTCCCCTGCCTTACCCACCCCCACCTCCCACATTCAATCCGCCATGCTCTGCGCCCCCCACTTCACCTCTTCTTTGTCCATGGGTCCTTTATACATGTTCCTTGATGACCCTTCCCCTTCTTTGCCCACTTATCCCCCTCCTCTCTGGTTACTGTCAGTTTGTTCTTTATTTCCATGTCTCTCTTTATATTTTGCTCACTTGTCTTAGGTGTTGGTGGCTGGTGCCATTTTTTTCTTAAAATATGTCATCACAGTGATTTTTTTTTAAAGTTAGGATAACTACCCTATCTATTCCAAGAGCATGTTTATTTTTGAGCTACCCAGTAAGTTTCTGTCTGGCAGATGCTTTCAGCTCTTAGCTCGTAGATAGTGTTTTTTAAGTCCTATTAAGTCAGTTCTTTGCTTGATACCAGATTTAAAAAGGAATAAGACAGTCATCTGCAAACTTATTTGATTTGTTTGAATTTAACTTGGATTAACATCAGCATTATTTCTCTTGTCAACAACAGAACAAATTAAAAACACTTCATGTTTTCTTTCCTAATTTTTTGGCCTTTTTTCTTTACTAATTTTTATGCCATGTTTCTTAAAGCCCATTTCCCTTTCTGTTAGTGAGAGTTTTGTTGTATTCAACTTAACTTTGGATCAGCAGTTTGCCAGTTTTCACAAAGCATCTTTGCATACACATAAAGGCATATGAAAGACAAGAAGGATACATCCGGCTTTGAGAGAAAAGATTTTGAATGTGACCGTAAGAACTTTGCTTATTAATGGACATAGTTTTTTGTTCTGTATCAATAAGAGTTCCATATTTTAGGAAATTAAAACTTCTCAAACCACTTACTAAATTGAAGTATTTTCCCTGAAAATTAGGAAGCATTTCACAGAGTTTTATGGAAACTTCTTGAAAGTTTACTGTTGCATGGTTCCAAGTAGCCCTAAGTTTTCCAAATCTGAATTTTGCAAGCACGGAGATTAAAATATTGCTCAATTTCCTCATCTGTAGCCAAATACTTCGTACCCATGTCCACAAATAATTTTGTGAAATGTGTAGTTTTCCAGGGCAAATATAGTCAGTTTTAGACTTTTCAATCAAATCATATTATAAAAGTTCTAGAACCAGCAGTAATAGCAAGTCCTTCACTGGTATTTTGTAAATTTCCATATATATAGATATAGATACATATGTAACATGTAAAAAGATGTGACCTAGAATATTCTACCTCCTCTTTGCCTATCTAAACCCGGTTTCAAGTCCCATTCAAGTTCTGCTGCTTGCTCAAACTCTCATTTTGAATCCATTTGCTGAACTCTGTATTTTATCACTTAATGGTCAGTTATATATCTTCTTATACTAGTCTCCAATTGCATCTTGGGAAGAATATTAGCATGCATGCTCTGTTTAGTGTACTACTAGTACATCTGCCATCATACCAAGAAACAAGTCTATAACTGAGAATAGATTAGGGATAGAATCATTGACATACCAGGATCTGAAGCTCTTCAAGCTACATCACTCCCTTTTTTTTTTTTTTTTTTATCCATCCATTTATAGCTACAGCTTATACCACTTTCCAGTGTTGGACTATCTCATTTTCTTCACTTCTGGGTAACATTGGATAGACTTCAATATTAAGAACACTGTTACATATATATAGCCAAAGAAAACAAGTCTTCGCTATTTTCATGCATTCCAATACCCAACTTGATATTTTGAAACGTGTGCTGTTATAAATACTTTACCTGATTATATATTCAATCATAGCTAGTTTTTAGTTTTATTTTAATCATTAACTTATTTAGAGTAGGTTAAATAATCGATAAAATGTCAGTTTTAAACACTGTCCTAATAAAATATTTTTAATAAACATTAGCATTTCATTTCCTCAAATTACTAATGTATTAATAAATTACTATAGTGGTAATCATTTTATAATATATGTTTATCAAACGACACTTTGTGCATCTTAAACTTAAAATGTTATATCAGGTATATCTCAATAAAGCTAGAAAAAAGTTACTATATGAGTATTTTAATAATAATTTGTAAGTTAAAGTAATCCATGTCTTTAATTTAGATGTTAAACCAGTAGGATAGAACTTGAACAGCAGCAGTTGTTAAAATACTTAGGGCAGTTTTATTTTAATAAATATCATGGGACTCTATTTCTCTCCAAAGAAGGAAGCCTTCTAAACAAATGTAGGAAACAGAACAGCAATCACTGAGATTCAGTGATATTGTGGAATCTGTGAGCACTTATGACTTAATGTGAATATGAAATCCTATGGGAAATGATTATTTGTCCTCCAAAAAAGAAACTAAACTTTGTCCTATCTTACATTCTAATTCACTAAATACTTAAACCATGGTTTTGTTTGTAATAGACATTTTCTGGAGTGTAAATTAAACACAACTAAACTAACAATATATATATTTTTTTTTGTTTTTTAAATTTTAGGAGTTTCTATTGCTGAAAACTACTTGGAAATAGAAGGAATGGCTAATTGTCTTCCATTCTACGGAGTGATGGATTTAAAAGAAATTCTTAATGCTATATTCAGCAAAAATGCGAAACAAGTTTTTGAATGTAGACCTCGCAAAGTAATAAGTTATTTAGAGGTATGCATTATTCCATTATGTAGGTTGGCTTAGGATTTAAGGTACTTAACTGTTCCTTAATAAAATAAGTGGTTTCAAAATAGTAAAATTCCTATAAAGTTTATTGTTGTTTACAAGAAGGAAATACTATTAAACAAAGAAAACTCCTTTAATACTGACTGTGGTAAAATCTATCGTGGATCCTTAGCGTAGCCTTAGTCCTTGAGTACATATTGAGGAGAAGTCTTTTATGCATGAGACATTTTGTAATGAAGTTCTTTTTGCTGTCTAGTTTTTGATTTTTAGAAAGGATTAAAAATTGCTCCACCTTTATACGAAATACTTGTTTAAAAAGAACTGTAATATGATCTTAAGCCATGATCTTTTTAAGAGCAAAAGAGGAGAGGGAAAGTGAAAAGATGTAGATTATTAAATAAATGGAAATTTTAGTTTTCTAGAAGTGTCTACCACAAATGAGAAATGTAGCAGTCATTTAAAAAAAATAAATTGAAAGGTAAAAGAGGATGGAGGAAGATTGTAAACTTTTAAATGTCCAAATATAAGATAGTGGTGGGAAAACAACAGTAATTGTCTCCATATTCAAGGTTTTATCCCTCAAGGTATTATTTCTAAAATAAACCTGATCTTTAATAAAATTTATTTTCTCCCTTTTATAAAATGAGCTGTTTTCATTTTAGACTATAATCATAGTCTGCCTTTTGCATTCTGAGGGTCAGATTTCCTCAACAGGGAAATCCACTTTTTACCATTTCTGAAGATTTTATTCAATAGCAATCTGTGAGTCCTTCAAGAGCTTTGTCTTGTGGAACTTCCCAGCTTGTTGTAGGCAATTCAACGTAGCTAGTTTCTAGAGATGGAAAATGAAACTCTTGTTTCATGAAAGAATTAATATTAAATAAAAGTTGAAAGAGTTGTAGGTAGTGGTTTATGCACTTAAGAACCATTTGGGAAGAAGTAAGTTTTCAGAAATAACAGAGGAAAGGTGTTGAGATTAGATATAAATATTTTTGCTAATATTATACCGCTCATTGCATTGAGGTAATAGTGGATGTAATTCTTAAGGAGGATAGTCTAGGAAAAATGAGAACTATCAGAACCGCATCCACAGGAATGCTTCATTTAAGGGCAAGTTGAATTAGATGAAACAAAGATCAAAGACTAAATAAAAGGAACCAAGAGAGGGGTGGATACAAAAAGTCAAGGGAGGAAAGAAACTTAAATATAAGTTGGTAGTATCTATCACATTCTTCATAGGGTAGTAGTTGCTTCATAGGGTAGAAGACCATAGGTGTGACTGCTAAATAGCAGTAATAACCGTGAAGACACCCATGATGGAAAAATAGTAGGGATGAAAGACATTTATCTGCCAATGGTCAGGAGTAGTGTAGTAGTGAAAAAGTGTAGGCAGCAGGTCATGTGATGGTGAAAGGAAGAAAGGAGATTAGCGTGTGTTTATTGAATTTGGTAGAAAAAATTGACTATGAAAGATTGGAGAGCAGGTGTTCCAAAACAGGCAGGAAGGAAGGCAAGATATAACATAAGCTTTAGAAAGAAGAAATTGTTCTTTGATACAAAAGCCGAAGAGGCAAAGGAAAGTGAATGTAAAAATATTTTGAGGTAAACTTGACAGAAGTCATGTGTGATTCATGTGCTAAAGGGCTAGGAGAGTTATCTCCTGAGAGTGAAGGAGCTGGAGAGACATTGGGGATTTGTGTATAGTAGAAAAGATTTGAAAATAAGAGCTGTCGGCACTCTTAAGAGAAGGTTGATTAGAGAAGAGTAAGATTTTCAGATGCCATCAAGGGCTCATAAGGGCTAACATTGGTTTGTATCCAGCCAGGAGTTTTGTCATTCTCCAACAGTGTGTGGTAGAATTTACCCAAAGGCTGAGCATGGCAACATGACTGGTGAAAGAACAAAGGGTATGTGAAGAAATTTGAACACATTATATATACTAGAAACTATTTCAGTTATGAGAGGGATATAAAGGTTTTAGTAGGAGTCTAAAAGGAATGCAGGAAGCTAAAGATATTATCCTTTACTTCTCACTCATTATTCATACCTTAAGTAGGGAAAGGTAACAGAAGGGTATTTGTGGGCCAGGAGAATAAGGAGGGACTGTGGAGATTAAATGTCAAATTGAAGAAAAAGGAGAGGTTAGCTGGAATAAAAGAATAGGATGGTTGGGAATATAACAGGAGAGGGTGTGTGGTTAGAGAGAATGTTAGGATTCAAGATCTTTGAAGTACAACAATTTTTTTTAAAAAAAATTTTAAAAGAAGCCAGCTCTCTAATACTATTTTATCCCCAAACTCTTAGCCATACCTCAGAAAATAGTGCTACCATACCAAAAATGTGGACATGATCCATGATTCTGCATCTCTCATAACCAGTTTATCAGCAAGTCTTGACTACCTCCAGTTCACATCAGGAGTCTTTACACCTCCCTCCATTCCCACTATTATCACACAAGTCAGAAACATTCACTAGGACTACAGTGATTGCCTTAAACCATAGTACAGCAGCCAAATGTGAATTGTAAAAACAAAGTCAGGCTCTTGCTTAAAGACACCCTGTTACTACCCTGTACATTCAGATTAAAATCCAAATCTCTTACCCCTTCTTAAAGGGTGATGTGCCCCTGCCTCAAAGGGTGATCTGCTTCCTGACTCACTGCCTTTTTCGTCCCTTTCTTCCCTTTAGTAATTATGCTGCACTTACACTGATTACTTGATTCTTTCTGTTCTCTTTGCCTAAATGCTCTTCCTTACCCATGACCTTTGCATCCTGGTTCTTTGTTTAAATTAAAGCTTAAATATCACTTCAAGGAAGCTTTTCCTAACCAGTCAGTTACTTTCTATCATGTTGCTCAGTTTAATTTTATGCATATTACTCACTGAAATTTTCTTTGTCTTTTTATGTCTTCTGTTTCTTTGAACTAAAATATGAATTTCACCAGAGCAAGATCTTGTCTCGTTCTCCACTGTATTTCTAGAATCTACAACAGTAACTCATGTAATTGGTGCTTAATAAATATTTATTGAGTGAATGAATAATAAAAAGAATTTAATCAATTTTATGTCTTCATTCTTGACAGGAATAACATATTTCAGGGTATGTCACAGTAAAATGTATGGCTTTCTCTTCCCAGGGAGAAGCAGTGCGCCTCTCTAGACAGTTACCCATGTACTTATCAAAGGAGGACATCCAAGACATCATCTGCAGAATGAAGCACCAATTTGGAAATGAAATTAAAGGGTGTGTTCATGGTCGCCCATTTTTTCATCATTTAACTCGTCTTCCAGAAGCTACATGATTAAACATGTTTAAGAAAATTAGTTACTGTTGAAATTGATTTATCATAAATACGAATCAGTTTTTAAACCATGTCTGTACTGTGTTAAGTGGTTATTCTATAAGTGAGGATATACTGGCTTGTATATATATTGAAAAAAAATTTTTAACTGAAATAAACTAATAGACTGCTCATTTTATTTTGAAGAACCAGCCTTTATTATAATTGGTTGTAAACACCAAAATGTAAAATACCTAGTATTCTTGGGTGGTTGATATACTAGGTGCTGTGGACTAAATTGTGTCCCCAAAATTCATGGTGAAGCCCTAACCCCCAATGTGATGGTCTTTGATGATGGAGTCTTTGGAGATAATTAGGTTTAGATGAAGTCATAGGGCGGGGCTATAATGGTGACATGAACGTCCTTATAGGAAAAGCCACCAGAGAGTTTGCTAGCTTTCCTTTTCTCTCCTTGCCCCATGCGAGGATATGGAGAGAAAATGGCCTTCAGAAGCCAACCTTGATCTTGGACTTTTAGCCTCTACAATTCAGAAAAATATCTGTGGTTTAAGCACTACTGTAGGATTTTTTATGGCAGTCTGAGCTGACTAATACACTGGGTCAGTCTTGTGCAGGTAGAAATAATACAGACTCAGCTGACACATAGGAGTTGCCAATCCTTGTTCAAAGTAGCATGGTGAGACAGGAAGTGGGAGACATTAAGAAAACGAAGAGGAAGAAAAAAGAACATAACTGAGAATTCTACCATTTACCTCTATTTGGGAGGTAACAGTTTAGAAGTTGCTGTCTCTTACATGGAAATCACTGGACTTTGGGGTTAAAATTTATCAGAGAGCTAGGGAAGATCTACATATTTAACAGAAAATTTAGATTAAGATTATTCATCATGTGTCCTTTGAGAAACCAGGTCCCACAGTACATCAAGTACAAAAAAATTGAAACATGATTTCAGTGAATGTATTTGTTGTAGAATGTAAAATATACTAAATACAGTGTCCACACACCACCTCCCATATTTCTCAAGGAGAATTTTTAATTCTTAAGACCGTTATAAGAGGTGCAAACTGCGTTACCTGGAAGTATTATCTGTAGTCAGGCCTTTCTCCTATGAACATTGTAATTTTTTTCCATAACCTAAGTACTATTTCTTCCTCACCAACCCCTTTAAAAATTGGGGGCCCTTCTCAGACCTTTCTGGGAGTCCTTTTTTTAATTCACTGGGCAAACTGAGGAAAGAAGCTCACAGAGATGTAGAGGATGACAAAATTTGCATCATACATTTGTACCAGCTCTAAGTGAAATTTTGGAGTCATTCTCCAGCTGATGCTGTTTAAGAGGTCCTAAAATGATCTCTTAGATGAATAAACTTTTGTCCCTTTTTCTTTCCGGTTCTGGATTCTGCCAAATCAAGTTAGCAGTAATGACAGCAGGTGTTTACAGTCTATTTGCTGGATATACTGTGCACTTAACCTTGTGTGATCTCATTTGATCTTCACAACAGGATTGTAGGTACTATTGAGACATTCCAGAACTCACGTTCTTTACCTTTATGCTTCCTCCAATGAAGTGTAGGCCCTAAAGAGTCATTAGGGTCAACCTAAGTATTTTTGGAAAAATAAGTATAAAACACTCCCTGATGCCACTTAGGAATACTAGATCAAGTCTGGACTGCAATGTTTTTTTCTAACGAGTCTGGGGGTAGCAGAGAAGGGCGGGGTCAGGGCCGATTCAGATGACACCCTGCTTCCTTCCCAAGGCGTGTTGGCCGAAGCCCCACCCCCTTGAGCCACCCTCCTGGCCCAATCTCCCGCAATCCCTTGCAGTATCCCCTGCATTGCAAGACAAAATGGACAGAGTGGGCAGAAGTGTGTATGAAGCCCTGGGTCCCAGGGTGGAGGTAATAGCCGCTATAGGCTTGGAGAGCCAGCTCTGGGAATTAAAGGTGAGGCAGGAAGATAGAGAGGAGGAAGGTATCTTCATCCCAATTGCCCATTTTCCTCATTAGGTTGGGGCTTCGCCAGGGAGAGGGAAGACTTACTGTGTGAATATACCAAAGTGCTCTTAAGACCAAGGGGACTTGGGATCGTAGTCCAGGCTCTATAGGACAGGGTTGATGCCAAACCATGAAGAAGTGAGGCCTGTAGGCCCCTTTTGCCCTGGACCTTTTGTATTGAGAGTACCCATGTATAGCTCAACAATGCCTGTGATGTTTTAGATACTGAACACACTGAAAAATGTTAGGCCCGAATTCAGATGGACAGGTTTTTGTGGTTTTTATTGGCTAATTGAGTCTGTGATTTTATCCAGATTTTGTGGCTGAAATTGCAGGAATTGCAATCTATCCCACCACAGCCTACATTTCTTACCTACAAATACGAGTATGCCCTATTTATTTGGCACCTAAATTTGCCAAACAAATTAAAACTCCAGTAATTGTATTACTTAAATGAACTAGACTTGTTCTTGGAATCGGACCATTCTAGATTGAGTCAGACAAACCAGTGTTCATAGATTCATAGTTGCTGAAGAGAATCTGAGATGACCGAATCCAACCATTTTACAGACAAGAAAGCAGAACCCAGAATTATTAAATAATTCCCCCACAGCTAAGTCGCCACAGCTGATCAGTACTCTACTAGTTCCACTTTAAATTTTTATATTACCATAAACTAAAAAATAATGTAAACACTGAAAGAAAAATAAAATGTCCCTGCAAAGCCAAATTTAAAAATGTTGAGATTGTGCACTACTTCCCTTTATAAGCATGAGTAATCAGTCTGTTACCTTTTTCTAGATCTTTGGGTTGATCTAACCTAAACTTGAAATTTTTCATCTTCAAAACCATTGTTATACTAGCAACACACAATTGGCCTCTTAACACTGCTGCCTTGAGGTTGCTTTCTCTGCTTACCTATTTTTATCACACTTTTTATTCCTCCTTAAACCACTACAAATTAATGTGAAGATCCCTTTAGTTTTTTAAATCCTGTCCCAGTGTCCTATTGTATGTCGAAGTTTCCCTGACAATCTCAAGTCCAATTCTTTTATCCCATATTTTTTCTTACTACTTAAATATGATATCTCAGTAAACAAAAAACAAACTAAAACTTAGAAGCCATCACCCTCACTGTGCTTCTAGACATTTATTTCTTCATCTCTGAAATGTTGAATTTGACCCTCAAGTACACAATCTTTTCTAACATTCTGTAATTTTGTTTCTTCCTATTTTGTCTTGAATATTTATTAGCAGTAATGAAATAACCTCTTTGTTAATTACCACTACATTACTATTGACCATATTTAAATGCTTCTGACTAGCCCACTTTTTCCATAAGATCTTTTAAATGAATCAAGGAAAAGGTAGATTTCTTCTACCTTACTCAAATTGAACTTGAAATCACTATAACAGACTGCACCCATCTCCAGGTTAGTTGTACAGGTATACTCATTCCTTTGTTTATTCAAAGACATGTATTGAATGTCACACTTAGTGCTGAACACAATATAGAGAGAAGACATTTCTTGTCCTCTAGAGGAGAGAGACTTGCAGTGTAACATAAGTAGTATGTGGATATGTGGTATATACTGTGGGTACCCACTCCCACCTTGGAGAAACCTAGGGAAGAAACCAGAAGAAAAAAGAAGAGTCTTACAGGTAAAGGGAACAGCATGTGCCAGTGCATTGATGAGCACAAGTAATTCTATTATTACATGACTAGATCTTGAGTAAATGAAGATTGGATTAGAATGATATGCAGTACCTTGACCATAAAGGCTCTCAAAAACCTCTTAAGGATTCGGGAAATTTTCTCCTAAGGAATGTGGAAATCATTAAACTTCTAAGCAGGAAGGGACACAACAGAGTACAGAATACTTTTTAGTCAAGTGGGTAGGCTACTTGAGAATTCAGAAAATATGAGTGATCCAAACAGAAAGGCTCTGTGGTAACAGAGAAAGTATATCTGACATCAAGGCCCTCATAGCTTTGCAGCAGTTTTCACTTCCCAGTCTCTGGGATGATGCCATTGTAGAATTAAAGTGGAACTAATGCCTCTCCCCATTTTGCTAATTCATGGTGATAATGGATTACTAGAATAGAAGGTCATTTGCCTTTCCTTTCTGTACTAAGTCAGTATGATTTGAGCCAGTCCCAAGTTCCTTACAGACTAGAGAAACTAATATCTTTTTAAAAGATTATTAAATCTGGCATTTAAATTTTAATCTAGACTTGTATTTGAGGCCTTTTGGAAACCAACCTGAAGTTCCTAATTGTTTCTTAAATGAAATACAAGGTCCGGCAGAAGTAACGCCTGCTTGAGTGTGCCTGGTAGGGTAATAATATGGGTGTAATAATTTATAATTTTAATTTGAACATTTTGCCTAAAATGCAATGGTGTGTTTAGTGTGATACTGTTATGTTACAGAATTATATGTTTATGATTTTGTAATAAAAAGGGGCATTATTTGTGCCAGACCCTGTATATTTATTTATAAAGGACTCACATATTCAAATAGAGTTTTCTAGGTAGCACTTACGTTCGTATGCTTAACAAGACAAACTAATGATTGAAAGACTTCTGATTATCTTCAATGTTGAACTTATTTGATTTTTAAGAACTTTCTCATAGGCATTTTAATTATGTTCTATAATTTAGATTATAGATACGAATGACAAGAAACAGGCAAGAAATTATGAATGAATTGAACATATTTTTGGAATAAAATGGTATGTTTTCTAAAGTTAACTTATTTTATTTTAAAAGACATTTTTATTTAAACATTTTTTTTCATCTTATCCAAAGACCATTGATGAATTACAGCAAATTAACTTGCAAGACAGTGATACTATTCTGCCCAAAAATACAGGAGGTCCCCAACGTTTTTTCCACTTTACGATGGTGCAAAAGTAATACAAAATCAGTAGAAACTGTACTTCCAAATTTTGAATATTGATCTTTTCCTGAGCTAGTAATATGTGATATGCTGTATGATACTCTCTCATGATGTTGGGCAGCAGCAGCGAGCCACAGCTCCCACTCAGGCACCAGATCATGAGGGTAAACAACCAATACAGTGTACTGTGTTGCCACCATGTTTTGGAAAATGTGCTCTGAGCCCATTTAAGGTAGAAAAGATTAAGCTGTGATATTCAGTAGTTTAGGATATTAAGTGCATTTT